CATAATAAAGTTATTATCTATAAAATTTTTAGAAAATATTATGTGCCTAATTTAAAAAATTCTTTAAGATTCACAAATGGCAGGTACGACACCTTACTAAGTAACCTTTAAGGTGCAGGGTACAGATACATATATTTAATGATATCTACTGTTAAAAAAATTGAAAATGTAAATCTAATTAACCGAATTCTAAACGTAACCGAAATCTTCATTTTCGAGGAAATAGTCGTTTCCAAGGTTAGATTTGCCAGACATGACCGCCCACTTAACATCAACATATGTATATAGGTGGCCGAATGGTTATTGCACTCTGACCCGTTTTTACGGACTTCCACTATTAGCTAATGCAAACTGCTTTCGTTAATTCATACATACACAGACTATACTAAAAGTTTTACGTTTAGAATTCACAATAATTGAAATTCCGTAGAGGAAATTTTGTAATTGTAGTGTAAACTGGCTACTTCCTTATTTCCGGTTATCTTTTTATAAATATTTTACACATACGGTTACTATTTAACACCCCTCATGCTTGATTTTCAACTGTTTATCTACATTTCTAGTCTTTTTCCTATCTATATATTTTTTTTTGTTTTAGGACCAAGTACTTCTATTATTTTGGACAAGAGTGTACATTCGGACTTCATGGGAACTGCGGAGAAATTCAACCGTTGAAAGAAAAACAGGTTAGTTAATTTATACAAGCTATTAAATTCTACATATACCCATTTGAAAAGAAAAAACTGTACCTACTTACATTAAAGATTACCGGCAAAATGCTCATCGAACAAAGAAATTATACATTTTTTTTGTTGGCATTTTTTCTTTTTATAACGGAATAACATATAGCCGATGTCCACCCTTTTAACGGAATAATATACAGCCTATGTCCACCCTGAATATTGACGAAAATTTTAGAAATCGAATGAGTAGTTTCGGAGATTATCTAATACACTCAAACTTTATCTCTCTTTATAATATTATGAAAAGTTGTCTAAAGGTATTTATATGAATTCTCCTATACTACGTCGTATATTTCAAAAGAAAATGCAACCTTTTGATGATTGCATGTAACAGAATATTCCCTGTGCTCGGTTCCATTTTTTCTCCTTAACTGTTAGTAAAGCAGTTCGTTAACTAATTTTAAGACACATTACCATTTTTTGAACAGCTTTAAATACACAAAAAAATGGTCTATAAAACACCATTTCTTAGAACGTTGAGCTACAATGTGTGGAAACCGAAGTGCGAATACGTGCGTGTCTCCTGTTAGATGCATCCCATTGGTATGGGGTTGCATCTACTACAAAGAGCAACACGCGGTCTTTTTTGGTTTCATAGTTCCCATCCCCATAAAATTTTGATAGGCGGCCTAAGTACGTACCTTATATAAACAAATTACGTCCGCTACCTAAAGATGTTGGAGTTATACAATAGAATAGTTTTTATATCTTTTCATATGTGTTTGAAAGAGATAGAGAGCGAACGTAATAGTACTCCGTAGACTGCTCCATACACACATAAAGAACGTTAGCAAGGACTATAAAGCGAAGAACACACGGTATAGCGATAGCCGTAACGATCGCGACTGCGATAGAAAGCACACACATATGCGCGATAGCGACTTTGTGATCACCGGTGGATTATTTGTATTTCATCAAACTAATTTATATCGTTATAGCAAAAAGTTTAATTTAGAGGATAATGAAGAACAATCTTATAGCGGTACAGGTCGCTGGTATCGTAGATATACCGCAGCAAGTATGGGTCCATTAATTTAATTTCAATAGACGGGTCTCATCGCCACCGCCATAGAAACGCGGTACGGTCGCAAATGCGGTAGCGGTCGAATTGCGTAAGTGTGTTCTTTGCTTAACTACTTTGATTTTAGTAAGTTTATTTCCCTTTACTTCTGGCTTTGATGTTGTATGTATCTGATACAGGGCATTAAACTTTAAACAAATTTTGCCACAACCGATTATTAATTAGAAAAAAATATTTATAATGTTGGATGAATCGAATAATGTAAATAAGTATCTACCTTCTTAAAAAATACACCTGTATCTAAAGCATCGGGATACACATATATTGCTTTTATTATAAATGTCAAATTAATAAAACCAGTTTTCTGCAGTTTGCACTGCGAGCAGGTAAAACTTGAAAGGTATTTATTTTCTGATTACTTTTTAATTAGAAGTCGTTTACTAGATTCTTTTATTGCAATTTACAATAACCTTTAGAAAAAGACGCGCAAGAGTTTTTTAAATATTGTTTGAAACAATCTTGCCTTTTGTAATAAATGTATATTAAAATGAAATTGAAATAACGCTGACGTTAGTTCCACTTATTTTATTTATCAAAATCTGATAAATCTGTTCCACAATCAGATTTTGATAAATAAAATAAGTGAAACTAACTCTTTAACTAATCTCCGTCATTATTTCAATTTTATTTTATTGTATAATGTTTGTTTTATAATCAAAATAAGATTGAAATAGAAAATAGAAGCATTTCAAATGTATCCATTGAAATGTTTGTGTACAATTTTTTTACATTGGTACAGATTTTTTACAGGTATTTCTTTTTTCCAACAAGATCGCGATCGTACAAAATTCTAAGAAAACATTTTCTTTCTATTACGTTTCTAATATGTTCAAAATCATTCTGTTAGGTTTTTCTATCTTTTTGGTTGCAAGGAATTCTCGGAATTACAATCTGAACACGTATGGGAAAATTTTTGCTAGAAATCTACATTTAATTTGTTTCATGTTAAAAGTAAAAAACAATTACATTTGACTTTTTATGCAACAAAGAATAATAATAACAATGTAGTACAGTTAGTTGAATAGCTGCACGTTTAATATTTTCATTTGATATTTTCAAAGAAAGCATTAGTTTAGGATACAATTAAAATACGAAAGAACTTTGTAAGTAGATTTTTTTATGTCTTCATTCAGTTTTTTTATTGTTATTTATGCACCAGTTTTTTGCTTCTAAACTTCAAAAATAAATGAATATATTAAAAACGTTTCCTTCTATGCATTGAACGTTCACAATGGATAGAAGGAACAAATAAATGTTAAAACTCTCACAAAAATTTTATGAAAATCCCATAGGTTCTTCATTACACAGTAACTTTTTGAAGTGAGTTGGATACATTAAGTAAAAATTTGACCATTTATTTGTTCCTTCTAATAATAACCAACATATTCACTAATCATAACTGAGGGGCTATACGGATATGCTAATATTTGCATAAACCTTTGAGAACTGTTTCTAAAAGGTATTATGAGTTTATTGGATAATTATGTTAATCTTGATATTGGCAAAGAAATTGTAAATACCTGATATGGGTAAGCTGGGATTCAACATAATTGGAGCGACACCAGCGGCAGCAACATCTAGAGGCGTCTTTCCATAATAATTTTTCGCAAGTATGTCTGCCCCTCGTTCTACAAGAAGTTTTACTAGTTTTAAGTGTCCGTTTGAAGCTGCATCGTGCAAAGGAGTATCATCTTGAAATCCTTTAACATTAACATCAGCTCTTGCCTGAATTAGCCTGAGAGCTACTTCATACCACCCTCGACTACATGCTTCATGAAGAGGTGTCCAACCTGTAATAATAAGAAAAATAACAACGAATTAAAAACTCATAAAGAACAGACTTTATGTTAAACGAAACAGTCAATATAATATGGTACAATATTACAAACACTAATCTACATAGTATGCATATAACAATCCCTGTGTAATACAGAAGATTTACAACCTAAAATCTATAAATTGTACAGTATCTATCTATCCTTATCACAACTGAGGTTATGCACCATTAAAACATTGTTTAATATGCTTATCTGGTCATCTTCCCTAATCATTTACATATTTGTGATCATAAGTATAAATTCTAATTTATCACACATGATGTTCTTTACCTACCAGCAAAATCTTTGATGTTCGGATCTGCTCTGTGAGCCAACAGTTTACAGACTTGTTCCACATCGCCTTTAATGGCAGCAAGATGTAATGGAGTCTCTCCCTTTTCATTTCTATCTTTCATTCTTGAAGAACTACTGCTACTGGGGCTCCGAGAACCTGAATCATTCGACTGAGAAGTCATTTGCATTAAAAGAGCCATTTGTTGTCTTTCAGACATTGGGGTGACCGGGGGTACCCTGCTGTTGCCAGCGGACCCCTTAGGTTTGATGGAAGATGGCATACTCGCATGAAGAAACTAGAAGAGTACCAAACAAACAATTTACTTTTATAACCTAAATTACCAATCGATATAAATGTTCAAATTATAGGGATTTTCTAGACATAAATTAGGTGAATCATAACTTACGCGAATTCCTTTGTATCTAAAAGAAATGCTAGTTTTTAGTTTCAGTAAAAATTTTAAGTATTTGTTGTGTAAATATATTTCTAATTGGTTTATAACTTTATAAATATATATTGTAGCAGTTGTCAGACTGTCAGACAACGAATGTCAGATGCTGTCAAAAATTTGATTTCATAGATTTCCAAATATCTTAAGTGACCTTCATTTACTATGAATAACATCATCTGTAACAAAATAGTAAAAATACTATTAAACATTAAAAATATATTTTTAAAGAGACAGTAGGAATAACACTACACTCCCATTTTGAATAGAAAATAATAAAACAGCAATATTCCACCTCATATCGGATAGAATGGTATTCGAAAACATCTTATTAATTTCTATTCTCTATTGTAAACTATTTAAAAAAAATGACAGTGTTTTAGTTTGTTATTGCGGGAAAAATAAACATAAGTAAATTATTACGTTTTTTGAACATATTTCATTATTATTAAAGTATTAAAATTATTTTGCTTTAGTAATACTTGGGTAAGTTATTATTTTCTTAAATTATTACAGAGTGAGTTAGACTGTAGTTTTGAATTATTTATTGAAAATATAACCTTTTTGTCAAAGGCAGATAAAAGTATTTTGCAATTGTTTTTATTATATTTATTTGAGTAAAAAAGTGTTTAAATGTCTTTATAGTTCAATTAAAATTATGGATGGCAGTACTGCAAATAAAATTGGTTTAAGTGAAGGAAACGAAATTTTAAGTTCCCATGAAAGACCTTTATCTCCTATTTTAAATAATAGTAAATTAAATAAAAAACAACTTCTTGGGCGCAGACATAGAAAATTAAGGGCCAAAAGAAGTATTCCAGTCATTAAGGAAGTTGAAAATGAGCAAAACGATCCAAGTGACAACGAGGAAAACTATGAATTACCAGATTTGAATATTTTAAATCACTCCTTTAATAACAATGATAAGTTTAATAAAATTAAAGAAATAGAAGATCGTAGAACAAAAGTGTGCAATTTATTTTATGAGGCAAGCAGTTGTAATGAAGAGGGCACTATAAAATCTAATTCTGATGTCAGCGACTTTCAATTTAAAGTTCCAACTTCTTCTGTTAAGAAAAAGAGAAAATCTGTGGTTGAAAAGGAAAGGAATGAATTTTCAATCAAAGAAGCAGGTGATTTTGCACTGCAATCTTTGAAAGATACTGTTGCGTTAACAATAAAAGATGACAACATTAAAGGGGCATGTGGTTTTAAAACAGCAGCAGGACAAGAAATACATTTACCTCCAGACTTTGATGAGGTCACACAACGACTGTTTAATGATATTTTTTGTTCAAATGATACAGAGATTAAATCCAACATAAGTGGTTATAAGTCTTCTGTGTTTAAACAGGAACAAGACCAATCTCATAAAGTTAAAAGGCGCCATAGAAAGTATTCACCTCGGAGAAATATAAATACTTTTTATAATAAAAACGTTAAATGTTCGTCTGATTCAGAATCAGAACATTTGAATTCATTTTCGGAATATACTTTGGCATATCAGCTAACAAACCAATCTTTTCCTTTAAAGTGTAGCACAAGTGAAGAAATAAGTGACAGTCATATAATAAAGGCTGCTGGAAGCCTTATAAATAACCTTTCTGAACATATTCAAATGAAAATAGACGGTTTAGAAGAAAATGAAAAAGTACAAGACACTAAGTTTGTATCAGAAGCTCAGAATTTTACTAAGCGTATAGAGGAATCAATAGCCCACTCTGAAAATATAAGCGTTTTATCGGATACTGCAGACACCTTAGATAATGAGGTACAGGATTTTCAGAGACTCCTAACTCAGAAAAAAGACTTTAAATTGTCTCCTTCATTAGGACAAATGACTAGTCAAAATCTTCAAAGGAAAGACTCAATTATGGACTTGTTATCTGATGACAAAATGAAGGAGCTACAGGCCATTGCTTTATCTGACAACAATTTAATTTTTGACGAGCTATCTGCTTCTCTAACTGATTTTTGTGGCTTTGAAAAAGGAGAATACATGCAATCCAATAAAATTCTAGACTTGTGCAATAAAATTATTGAAATGATGAATGAACAAATTAGTGCCATTTCTAGTAGAGCTCAGAGTATTATTAGTGTTCGTACTGGTGAACCAAGTCAAATCGATAAACTTAACGCAGCCAAAGAAGCCGAGGACCTTTTTAAAGTTAACAACTTAAAGAAAATAGTTGAATACTGTAAAAATAAAGTTATGAAGTCTAACTGTTCTGACGAGTTATCCTGTGAGGACGAATGTAAAATTTCTAAAAGACCAAATTCTGGAAAAAGTATAAGAATTAGTAAAAAAATGAAGATGGAAAACTCACCTAGAATCGAAATTAAATTTCAGAATCATAATCCAATACCAAATCAAACTTCAAAAGTATATTCAAAAGAGATTGGCGATTTTCATCAAGAATGTGCTCAAAAGAATAGATTACTAAACAGAATTGATGAAGTTAACGAGACTAACATTACTTCTAGTTTTACAACAATAACAAAAAAAAATGGAGTATGCACAGAAAATAAAGCACAAAATATGCCTTCCGTTAAGAATTTGAATGATAGTATTAATAAGGACCCTTTAGATAAAAATCTAGATTCAAAAAAAAGCGAAAATGCTGTAACATTAGACAATAAGGATTCAGATATACAATTACTATCTGGATACAATAATTCTCTTAAGATATTTGATGAACTTCACAGAATCGTTGAAAATCTGGGGAAAGTGGAGTTTCAGAAAAATGAATCGGCGGGATGCCAAACATTACACACAAAGCAAGACGTCAAAGCTATTCAGGTAGATTATAAAGAGTGCAGTGATACATTCAAAGTTGAACAATCGGACTTGAAAAAGGAGAAAAGTGTCGGTTTCACTTGCGCTTCTGGTAAAGCTATTGATATATCCGAAGATTCTATAAAAAAAGTGAAAGCATTGCTAAAGAAAACACTTGATAGCCCGATTTATCCATTAAATTCAGTTGATGATCAAGAAGTCTTAATTGATAAGGAATCACTAAAATCTGACAAATTCTGTTCCACTCCATTATCAAAAAGACCCGCTTCAAGCCAAACTTCGGAGGAGTCAAATAGATCAAAGTCAATCTTTAAATATAAAAGTCGAACGCCAACCACTGTTCTTTCATCTCAAGGAATAAATTCAGAGGCTGGCGATCATGTTGGTTTTGACAATAAGCAAATTGAAAAAACCTTACGAGAAGATTTGGAACAATTTAAAGCCGGTATTGCAAAATCAAAGATGCTCTATAAGGAGATAACGGAACCATGTTTCACATCTGAAATTGTGTCTCATCTTACTATGGATTATACTAGTCCCTATTCCTTATACGGAAAAACTGGAAAAAAAGCGAATGAGGTCGATACATCGTCGCAAACGCACGATAGTTTTCTTCAGAAAGATCTAAAGGTAGTTTCATTTAAAACTGCATCTAATAAACCGTTGCGAATTTCTGAAGCTGCTTTGACAAAATCGAACAGTTTGCTAAAGGATGCATGCGAAATGGTTTATAAGTCGCCATTAATAGGAAATGAGGAATCATCTGCTTCCAATATTCTCTGCATGGTTGAAAATAAAAACTGTACTCAATCTACTAATTTTAACACTATCCCAATAGCTAATAAACCTAGAACTTCTGAAGTTATTATTGGTCCAGCAAAGTCAGATACAAAATTAAATTTAAATTACAATTTATCAAATACAAATGTCGGGTTTAAGAAAGCTTCTGGAAAGGACGTTCAAATTAATGAAAACGCTCTTTTAAAGTCAAAACAAATATTTAAAGATATCGATGAAAAAGAAAACTTACCTTTACTTACCACGGAAACTTGTGCTGTCAATGGATCTTATTTAGAAGCGAAAAATAAACTTGAAAAAATGTTTACTCCTCCCAGAAGTGTGACAAAGAGCAGCGATCCGCAAAAAAACACCCCAGTTAACAACAGAAAAGAAATTGTGAGGCCAAATTCAGGAAAAAAGCGGCTGGGTGTTCAATCATCGTGTAAACAGATCCTTATTCCGGAGCACAAAGTTGAAAAAATGAAGCAATTGTTCGAAAATTTACAAGACCAAGCAGCGGATGTTCGGCAAACTCCACCTAAAAAGGCACTAGTTCATACCGCGAATCCCGACGATTTCAAACCCACAAAAATGCAAAAGTCAGTTAATGTTTTATATACCGAAAAAAATGATGTTAATCTCTCGACGTCCACTCCAGTGAGAACTTTAGTTAATTCTAGTACATTTAAAGCACATGTAGATATTGACAAGATATCGCCTATAAAAGCCAAAGTAAAAGTTGCTTATTCCAATGAAAGCCAAGTTGTGCCCGGGAAAAATGTAATATTTTGGAAAAGAGCCGACGATACTGGCAATATGTCATCATTTATAAAAAAGATCAATGACGAACTTAGGCTTCAAGAAATTCGCATCAAGGTGCTCAATGAAAGGCACAAAGCCATGTGTCAGCAGATATATCTTCTTGAGGATGAAAATAATCAAATGCGACGGTTAGAAATTCTATAAACAATTTTCGAACAAATATGTGATTATTTCTTTATTGATTGTAGGCCTACTGCTGGAACACTTTATAGGCGTAAAAGCGAACGGGTAAAGTTTTCATTAAAAGAAATTTTAAATTTTAATAAAAATGACGCGCTGAAAAATTCTCGAGACGAATTGTTCGAAATATGCTCGAAAAACGCAGAACACGTTCATTTTTATTGTCCTTGGTAAGTCTGAAACCTGAACTAAAAAGTAGGATTCAAATTAGTTTGAGCATTTTGACAAAAGTTTTCGATACAGCTAAAGTAATTATAGGCAAAATACTTCAGAAGAATACACATCTATTTTACATACTGTCGATGGTTCCACAATTGTACCAAATATAAAAGATTATGTGGGTTTGCCCGAAATTAAAATCGCGTTTGAAACTACACCGGGCGTAGAACCAAAGCTCATTCCATCCGGTTGGATAAGCAATCATTTCAAATGGATTGTGTGGAAGTTGGCTAGCATGGAGCGAAAATTTCCCGATATATTTGAGAATTGCCTCAATGTAGAAAATGTTATGCAGCAAATAAAATACAGGTTGATTTTTAAATTATTTAAACATTAACAGATTAAAAGCAGATAAAATGTACAATGTATCCCAAATTGAAGAAATTGACTTAACACTTGTCTTGAATTATTCATGAGTACGAAGATGTAAAATGTAGGTGTATGTTATCGATATTACACGTTTTCGTCCATCTAAGATGCTTCTATCTTCTACTTCTTGTTCATTCTTCTGTCCTGTTCTTCTATAAATAATTTTCTGCAGAACATCTAAATATAAATATTTTTTTCATTAATATTTTCAGAAACGTTTGAATCATACATTGTTCCATTTTCTTCCTATAAAGTCTGCGTAATGTTTCGTCTTCATTAAATGAGTCCTTTTTAATTGTCTAATTGTCCTATTATTTTTAGTTCTACATATCCCCCTATTCNACCTTCTCATCGAATATCAACAGAAAATACAATCAGAAAGACAGCAAGAAATCCAAAAACGGATAAAAAAAGAATTGGAAAAATCAAAGTGTTCCAAAAGAGAGGTGACAGAAGTTTGGAAATTGGCAGTTTTTGATGCTTACGACAAATGTTCCGATAAATTGCACATTTTTACTGTTTGGAAACCTACAGAAGATCATCTACATATGATTAAAGAAGGACGAACTATTCTCGTTTACAATGTACTACCAAAGTAAGTAATTAATTTGTAAAACGAAAAGCGGAAATGGCGTTGATATTTAGGTGCGTAATGAGGAGGTAGGGGACTAGGGGTCTTGGAATATTCCATAAATTATCATTAATTTTTTCTTATCTTCATTTTGTTTGTCTTTTACTCTCTCCAATCTCTACCCACTCATTCCTACGATTCCTTAAAGGAGGAGAGAGTCTTCCGCCCTATACATTGGCTTTGCACTAAGTTACGTTTTAGAGGCCATGCTTCACTCATGAATTGAAGGTATATTAGTTGGCAATTGTTGGTCAAATAAATACTGGTTGAATATACATATATGGGGATATAGTGGTTCTGATATGATTAATTTAAAATAATTATTTGTTCTTCTATAAATAATTTTCTGCAGAACATCTAAATATAAATATTTTTTTCATTAATATTTTCAGAAACGTTTGAATCATACATTGTTCCATTTTCTTCCTATAAAGTCTGCGTAATGTTTCGTCTTCATTAAATGAGTCCTTTTTAATTGTCTAATTGTCCTATTATTTTTAGTTCTACATATCCCCCTATTCGCAGTTATTGCTATTTGAAGAATTAAATTTAATATTGCCACGTATCTGTAAACTTGTTAATTATATTTAATTATTCCAATTTAGGACACATTGTATAAAAGTTCAGCTTCTGATTGCCTTGTTGTTTTGTGGTAGGTTTTGTAACTCCTCGATTATTTTAGATACGATAGAGAAATTGATAAAAGCGAAAGGCCCTGTTTACGTAGGATTTTGGAAAAGGACGATACAAGCGCCAAACGCATGATCCTTCTGGTATCAGATATAATAAAAGTAACATTTTACAAATTAATTTGAACAAATTATATTAGTGAACATTTTTTTCTTTATTTCATGTAGGTAGCTTACAATAAGCATGAATTGGAATTATCAGATGGCTGGTATAGTGTAAAAGCTGTTATAGACGCTCCCCTAAATAGTCTTATTTTAAAGAAAAAAATTGCAATTGGAATTAAAATTATTACGCAGTGCGCAGAATTGTTAAATTGCGAAGGTTGTCATCCTCTTCAGGNCACAAATCAAAGTAAAAATACTGAAGACACATTCCATTCGTGACTTTAAGGGTATACTTTAGTGTTTTTGGGTTTGTAGCAAGCGGGAAATGTAAAATTAAAAATTTCTTATAATTGCACGAGGCCTGCACACTGGTATGCCAAGCTAGGTTTTCAAAAAAGTTGCTTGCCATTTCCAATACCCCTCGCAACGGTTCAGCTTGAGGGTGGAGTTATTGGCTGCTCCAAGCTGTTAATCGCAAGAGTTTATCCGGTTAGGTATATGGAAAAAAATCCAGACGGAACTAACGGTAAAATGCCTTTTTATTCATGGGTTAAGTTATAAATAAGTTACAAGTTATTTTAGTTTGGAGAAATAAAAGGGCCGAAGAAAAATATGTGTCAGAGTGGGAGGGTACGCGGTATGGAACGTGTGAAGAGATCAGTTATAAAGTTCAAAACCTATACGAAAAAGAATTGACTGAAGAAAGGAAAAAGGTAACGTTGGGCAAAATGAGTTTTAGCGAAATTTCTAAAGTTCATTGCCCTAAAACGATTTTTGATCTGATGGAAAGTACTACAGATCCTGATACTTTCAAGGTGTGTTGAGTATTATTCATAATTTATTATGTTATTGACGGAGTTTTTTTGCAAAATAGTTTAACAGATGAAAAAGTAAGGTGAATGTATTATTAATTTGAAAAAAGGAAAAATCAAAAATATACCAAAGTTCATTCTCTAGGAATAGGATTTACTTAGGTGTGTTGTGTGTTATATATGCAACAGTGAGAAAATAGTTTTTAAGATTTATGAAGGTGTATTGTGTGTTATATACGTAACAGTGAGGAAATCGTTTTAAGATTTGTGGTGTATTGCGGGTTATATATGCAATGGCTAGAAAATTACTTTTAGGATTTATTAAGGTGTATAACGGGTACTATAAGCAAGGGCGTGAAAATCGCATTCAGTAGTATGTATTAATGTAATAATAATCCAAGAATAATGCCAAGTGTAGTAATGATAATTAATTTTTTACGTATTACTGTCTCCGTACTTCTTATTAGTAATTGTTCCTTTAAAAGTTAGAGGCAATTAATTGACTTTTTTAAATTTCATTTATAAATTTTTTAAACATTTTTAAACGCGCCGTTAGAATTTGTATAACTCTGTGTATAGAACAATACCAAAAATTTTGTACTAAGAAAAGTTGTAATTGGTTAAAGGGAATGTTAAGTCCTTCGCAACAAAACCTTCTCATCGAATATCAACAGAAAATACAATCAGAAAGACAGCAAGAAATCCAAAAACGGATAAAAAAAGAATTGGAAAAATCAAAGTGTTCCAAAAGAGAGGTGACAGAAGTTTGGAAATTGGCAGTTTTTGATGCTTACGACAAATGTTCCGATAAATTGCACATTTTTACTGTTTGGAAACCTACAGAAGATCATCTACATATGATTAAAGAAGGACGAACTATTCTCGTTTACAATGTACTACCAAAGTAAGTAATTAATTTGTAAAACGAAAAGCGGAAACGGCGTTGATATTTAGGTGCGTAATGAGGAGGTAGGGGACTAGGGGTCTTGGAATATTCCATAAATTATCATTAATTTTTTCTTATCTTCATTTTGTTTGTCTTTTACTCTCTCCAATCTCTACCCACTCATTCCTACGATTCCTTAAAGGAGGAGAGAGTCTTCCGCCCTATACATTGGCTTTGCACTAAGTTACGTTTTAGAGGCCATGCTTCACTCATGAATTGAAGGTATATTAGTTGGCAATTGTTGGTCAAATAAATACTGGTTGAATATACATATATGGGGATATAGTGGTTCTGATATGATTAATTTAAAATAATTATTTAAATATGAGTTATGAGAATTCGATTGAGTAATTTATAGTTGCTATAACGTGCATCTTCTATTATTATTACAAAAATTCAATGAAGACACTTTTAGCTTTTATATGAAGAGTTTTAAAACTTAATAAATTATTTTTTTATTGCTAAAATTTGAAATCAACTTTCATTTATAAATTATATTATTCGCCATAAAAGTGAAAAAGTTAAATGTCTTTTCTCAAAAATAAAACTATAAAACACTTTAATATTTTTCAGTGATGATTCCAAAATGTTAGGTTTTATACGTGTATGTTAGTATTTTATAGTTAAAAGGTAAATGTAGGAAGAAAAGTCGCTAACAAATTTTCGAATATGTCCTTTATTGTACCACAAACTATCCTTAATTTTTATTAGATTTTTGTGCATATGGATTGTCCATTACCAATAGGTCTGTCACAAGTTAAACAAAAAAGGAAATTGATTAGGGGAACATAATTTACTTTTCTTTAGAGGGGTGAACTGAGGCTATGATACCGACTCGGTGAAATGGTCCATTCTTACCCCCCCTCCTCCCAATAACATGATGCTAATTAACTCCATGAGCATAATACACATGGCTGGATTTATAAGCAGTTAAATCGAATCATAAATCAATCATTTTAACCCAATAACACCAAAACATAATGTCAGGTGGTATTTTTCACAAATATTTCGTTAAATTTGATTTTTGAAAAGGCAGAGCCGTCCTCTGGCTATAATGATCTCCACTTATTTCTAGATTTTCAATTAATAATTTTCCCTCTTACACTTTGCTTGTAGCAGCTCTCTGAGGTGGCGGCCAATCAGCGATAAGTTCATATGGTCAGTCCGCCACTTTGACAGGCGGGTATAAGGCAACTAATGTCCCCAGTCTAATAAATTTGTCTTCCTAAATCGATTGCAATATATTTTTATATAATTATCAATAGAGGGATTGATTGATTTACTGACTATAGGAAAAGTGGAGATCTTGCTTCGAACGCTCGGACTAGATTTCATTGTTTAGACGAGGATAATTCCAAGAGATTCGAAGAAATTAACAGACGTGTTTTGCCCATTTCTTCTATAAGTCATACCACGGGGAAAGCGTTATCGAATGAATTTGATACCATAGGAACAATTGTTCGACTTAAAGTTAACGATAACGAACAAGAAATGTGGTTAACTGATCAAAACCTCAAGTAAGTTTTACAGTTTTTATAAGTTTTAGGTCATCTTAAATTCAGTTGATAAGTAGATACCTTCGTGAGGCCCTTATTAAACAATTGAAATACTACTGTTGGCAGTAAATGTTAATAGATGGCGATATACTGCCAAAAACTTGATATATCAGCTTTGACCAAAATTTTATTTGAGGGTAAATATTCCTTAACCCTTTTAGATTGTTATTTATAAAAGTAATGGAAGGTCCTAAACTGTGTTGTTTGTTCGACGGCCTTAACGTTGGACAGAACATTGCCATTTGGAACTTAGTTACATTCGGTTTACAAGATAAAGTGGCGCAGGCTATTGCTAACCAATATACACTTGTTTCCGGTCATCCTCAAGCCCCATATTTGCGGGAAGCTTTAAAAAAATATTCCGAAGAGGTCACAGTAAGTGCAATTTTCTTTGGCTGTTCTTCAGTTTTATAACACATAACATACACTCGAAAAAAATTTTTATTTTTTTATTTAACTACTTATTTTTTTTTCTGTAATCGTAATTATATATGAGGAAATCGTTTTAAGATTTGTGGTGTATTGCGGGTTATATATGCAATGGCTAGAAAATTACTTTTAGGATTTATTAAGGTGTATAACGGGTACTATAAGCAAGGGCGTGAAAATCGCATTCAGTAATATGTATTAATGTAATAATAATCCTTGAATAATGCCAAGTGTAGTAATGATAATTAATTTTTTACGTATTACTGTCTCCGTACTTCTTATTAGTAATTGTTCCTTTAAAAGTTAGAGGCAATTAATTGACTTTTTTAAATTTCATTTATAAATTTTTTAAACATTTTTAAACGCGCCGTTAGAATTTGTATAACTCTGTGTATAGAACAATACCAAAAATTTTGTACTAAGAAAAGTTGTAATTGGTTAAAGGGAATGTTAAGTCCTTCGCAACAAANTTGTATTCCTGTGCGAATTTTATGTTTCTCATTTTTTCTCTTCTTTATTGCTTATTAATGTATTCGGTTAAACTTTCTAGCTGTTTCCATACACTTCTGTCTTTTTCAAGTTTGTATCTGTAGTGAATGTGAAATTTTGGAAAAAATACAGAAAACAGTTCTTTACTTAGAGATTACAGGAAAATTAGTAAGAAGTCTATGGTCTGAACATAACGTGGTAAATCATTCAACAAAACAGCATACAAATTTACATTTGCAGTTTGAATGTATGGGAGAACATTATTTTCTTCAACTACAATGTTAAGTTGGTTCTCGGGCTAGGGTTCCGTATGTCCGAAACAAAGACGGAACCCTTATAGGATCATTCCTGTGTCTGTCTGTCTGTTTTTTTATTTCTATACCCCCTGGCGTTTCTCCTAGTACCTATTTATCTTAAAATTCTTTCTCAAGCTTTTTTTAAGTGTTTCAGCGTAGATTTTGTAACCTGTGCTTGTGAATGTTATTTCTTCGTAATTTTCTGCCTTATTTGTGTTTTCCTTCTTGTAAATTGACTTTAATATTCTTGTTTTTCATTCTTCCGGAAGTTTTTCATCTCCAGTCCATATCCGATGTAGTACTGTTTTTAGCTTTTTTATTGTTTCTTTTACTTCTTCTGATGTTATTTCTCTATCCCCTTCTGCTTCTTATTTCCTTTCTTTATCCTCACAATTGTTTGGCAAAGTGCTCAATCCATTTCTTCATCTATATATTTTCACTTATTGTTCTTCGTTTTCTCGTGCTTTGTCCATTAATTAATTTCCAACACGTTTTTCCTATTCAATCATTCCTTTGCTTCTGACCATTTCTTTTTCTTCAATTTTTGTATTTTTTTGCATGTTTATTATTGTTTATCAATTTATCATGGATTATTTTTTTTTACTATGTGAGGTATTAAAATTTTTAAGATAAGATCCAAGCATTAATCCCAAATCAATCTATGAATCGTGATGTGCCTCTCGTACATTTTTATTTATTTTTGTCTTACAATTAGCAATAATTGCCATACAAACATAATATCTACATAGCTGTTTACGAGTCTTCGGATTTTATCATATCAATTGACGTCTTTTAGAACGTAAACGATCTAGTGAAGGAGGCTGATATCAAAGTTGAAGAGTGCATTATCAGATCTGAGTTCTTTCAAAATAGAAATTACACGAAACCGCTCTATTCTTCGGTTTCGATTAATGTCAGCGAAATATTCGACGAGAGTTCCGAAGATAACGCTTCGATACCTGCGGGTCTGACCAAAACCGACGTTGCCATGTCTCTCATAAATACCGACGAATTCTGTTAAAAAATTGTACAACTAAACCCGAACCAAAAAATTACATGTAATTACCATAATTTTGTAAAAATCAATTATTGAAATGAATTAATATATCGTTATTAAAAGAAAGGGATTAACTGCAGTAAATTTGTTAGTTGTTTGTAAATTGTTTTTATTTTTATAATCGTTACTATTGTTTAATAAAAAAATATTTTCTTGTAAGGTGCCTTTTTTTTTAATACCCAATAGAAATGCTCTATACGGAAGTGGATTTTATTGCCTAATGTTTTAGTCATGTACTAACATTAGAAAATTTATTCGGTAAAAAAGTGCAGTTTTGAGGCTGAATTCTTACTTATTATTCGTTTCAGTCATAAGTTTTTTTAGCATATTTTGTTCATACATTGTTAAAAATTAAGAAATCAAAACAGAACTCTTTCATGTGATATTCCACTTGGTCAAGGTATTCCATATTTATATTTAAATACTCCATTTTGAGCCCCTTTATTTGTAATAAAAATGACAATGTGTTATTCTCACTGTCAAGATTTTTTTACCTTTTCTGGTAGGTATGGAGTCGTAAAAATAAAGGTAAAAAACATCATATGTATATATGGTTAAATAGTTAAAAATATTTTACAGTAATAAGTTTCTTAAGCTTTTATTTTACTGTTATGTTGATTTTCGTATGTATCGCATAAGTATATTATACATTATAAAAAAAAGATGAGCTGACAACGTCGCCAGATCAGCGGTCCGTGAATGGCTCATTCAAAGTCGGCAATGCGGCATGACCATCAGTTGTCGCAACATATCGTAATGGTGAAGGTGCTTTAATAGTGTGTTTGGTGTATTTATCTACTTTATTTTCGAAAACTTGAATTAAACAGGTGTTGTCATAAACAAAACAATACTACAATGTGTCTTAAATATTATTAAAACTTATAATGAATCGGTGTATCGGTTAGTTTTTGAATATTTAGTGCCATTTCATATAAGATATCTATCATTAAGTTGGGTTATTGTTTTTCTTGTGTAAACTGTCATGTTCTGATTGTTACGTTCAAAGAGTAGTGAAAAACTATGATTAACAGTTTAAAAATAAAAGAAATGGATGTGGACGGCGACAGTGAAACTAGTGAAAAAACTTACAAAAGTTGTTTTGCTCGATCTGTCGTGGTGAATTCGAAATTTCAGGACAGTAGGGCATCTCGGTCGGAAATCTCTAGGAAACAATGCGTCCTTCAGGAACAACCGGTGTCTCTTGAATTTTCTAAGAAGCTCGAAGTTTTTGAGGAAAATAGGAACTTTAACAAAAAGTCTAAGGTATGTCAATTACTTTTTTGTGTGAATATGAAAGAACGTAACATTAATAAGAGATTTCATTAACAACAGGTTAAATAGGCTTCTGTATCTTTAAGATTTTGTGCATAACTTTTTATAAAACTGATATAAGTAGGTAGGTGTTTGACAAACTCTTCATAATCAATTTTACTGTTTTTATTACAGCAACACGGCTTTATAGTTTTGTGTTGCGTTAGTCCTTATTACTAGGTAGAGGATACCACGAAAGAACATGAAAAAATATTAGTTATATTGATCAAGTAAGAAATGAAAGTTTGGTATTTTATCATGGAACAGAAAATGCATTTATGGTGTTATAAGAGGGTGTTAACAATTACGTAGGTAAAAAAGGTTAGGAATGAGAAGGTACTAGAACATTAGAAGGAATAGGAGGGGAGGGCCTGGAAGTTAGCAAAAAATAGGCGAGATAGGTGAGTAAAATACCTTCTTAGGCTTGTTAGCCCTAACTCTAACTTACGTGAGTGACAGAAGTACAAACAGGAGTTAAAAAAGGTAGAGGTAGACCCATATGAGATTACAGTTTTTATACTTGCGACCATTTTTCTAAAGCGGAGTGACATTATGTTATGTACAATGTATGTGTTGTATTACTGTAACATACATATTGTACTCCTATAAAAAGTCCGTAATTAATCGAATTGTATTGTTTATTTGCCTTACTTCATTCAAATTTTGATTGATTTGCAACACTACTGAACAATGGAAAGCTGTTAAATTGGAATATTTAATGTGGTTGAACATAATGTTGTAGGTTAATAAATCAAAAACTAAACTAATTTAAAATCATTAAGGATTGCTTGATCTTTTCATAAACAACATCCATTTTCATAATTTAAATTAATAAATTAGCCTATCTTATACACATAATAATAATTAAAATAAGTTATGATTTTAAAGAATCCGGCTCGAAGGACCAAGTGAATTTAAATCAAATGAGGAGCTTCGGTAAGGCGCCGACCAGACTGCAGTGTTTTTTTTTTTGATAGATGATAAATAAATATTTATCCGTTCTTATTATTGTGCATTAATCCATATTGTTAGAGTCAATTAGATAAGGGCGTTAATATCAATAATCTTTAAGGTACTAAACTGGACAAGTATGAAAAAGGGAATTCATATAAGTGGTTAAATGTGTGGAAATAAAACATTATACATACATCGAAAGATTATTTATAGGAATATATTGTATGTACTTATATGTGCATATTTTCTAAGGTAATTATTGTACAATAATGAACTAAAGTCTAACAGAAGTCGTCTGTAGTCCATTTCATTAGAAAACCAGTTTCAAACTTTCATCTTTCAACCCTTAAAATTGACAATTTAAACAATGGAAGGGTCCCAATAGCAGTTTTTTAATGAGTTATGCAATCATATAATGTACATAAATACACAGTTAAAGAAGTCGTAACAAATTGACAAAACATTGTACATTATTTAATCGAGCATTGTTGTTTTGTTTTATTCAGATTGATTAGAACATTGATTTGATATGTTATTACTTATGAATAACTTTCTTCCAATTGGTAGAACATAATAACTAGCTTTATTAAAAAAAATCTGGTTCCCGTTTACATAGCCTGCATACGGCAAATAGTTCTTTACTTAGAGATTACAGGAAAATTAGTAAGAAGTCTATGGTCTGAACATAACTTGGTAAATCATTCAACAAAACAGCATACAAATTTACATTTGCAGTTTGAATGTATGGGAGAACATTATTTTTTTCAACTACAGTGTTAAGTTGGTTCTCGGGCTAGGGTTCCGTATGTCCGAAACAAAGACGGAACCCTTATAGGATCATTCCTGTGTCTGTCTGTCTGTTTTTTTATTTCTATACCCCCTGGCGTTTCTCCTAGTACCTATTTATCTTAAAATTCTTTCTCAAGCTTTTTTTGTGTTTTAGTGTAGTTGTAACCTGTGCTCGTGAATGTTATTCCTTCGTAATTTTCTGCTTTATTGGTGTTTTCCTTCTTGTAAATTGACTTTATTATTCCTGTTTTTCATTCTTCCGGAAGTTTTTTATCTCCAGTCCATATCCGATTTAGTACTGTTTTTAACTTTTTTATTGTTTCTTTTACTTCTTCTGATGTTATTTCTCTATCCCCTTCTGCTTCTTATTTCCTTTCTTTATCCTCACAATTGTTTGGCAAAGTGCTCAATCCATTTCTTCATCTATATATTTTCACTTATTGTTCTTCGTTTTCTCGTGCTTTGTCCATTAATTAATTCCCAACACGTTTTTCCTATTCAATCATTCCTTTGCTTCTGACCATTTCTTTTTCTTCAATTTTTGTATTTTTTCTTACATTCAAAGTTTTCTGCACTCAGTTCTTCTTTTTCTATGTATTCCCTCCTTTGCTTCTTCAATTCTCCAGTTTTGCTACGTGACATTCATTGTCCCACCATTTCATTCTGTAGTTATACTTCGTTTACTTTCTGTAGCGATGTGACCTTCAGTATGACCGGCGTAAAGTAGAAAAGAGCAGCACTAGGCCAGGAAAAAGAAGGAGACCAACTCTTAACCGGTGAGGGGCGTAGAATCCGTACAGTACTGCACGGAAAAATTGACNTGTAACTCATTCCTGCATTTTTAAGTATATTTAACATCTTATAACCGTAGAACCGCTATTGGTCTAAAAAAATATTTACTAATTAATTTTTTATCGCAAAGACATCTGTACCTAAGTATGCATTAACATTGCTTCTGTGAATTATTATATACACACTTACAGATAAATAAATAAATAATTGACTTTAGAGCTTTCACAGCTATCTGTGTAAGTTTTGACACTTAAGCAATGCACAGTGTCAAGGATAGCAATTTTGTTATATGTGTAAGTAATTTGTACACATTATTTAATTCATTCACATATTTCAAAACCCTCACGACGATGTTGTTAAATATTGATGAATACTTAGAGAAATACATGTACAACTGCTTATGCATGTAAACAATTCTGATACGGCACGCATTAAAAACGTAATGCGTGTGAAGCAATCTGATATTAGATTAGAGAATTAATTGGTTTGTGAATTCTATTAGGCACGTTAATATATTTTATCTGTCTACTGCTGACTGGTTTCTACAGAAAGTAAATGAAGTATACTCGTATCCATTTTTATTTTCTTACTACATACTGATGGATTTACTTTATCTCTTAGTTCGTTCCAGTTTTTCGCTCTTCCTTTTTCTCTTAAACTTTTGTGACCTTTTGTAATTTAAAATTTCTTCTTCTTGGTAGAACGTAATGTATTTATGTTACTAATAATTATAAGCAGCTTTCCTTTTCTAAAACATATCCGCTCGTGTATATACCTAATGCAAAATGTATTGTAATGGCATAACGTAATAGTTGTATCACCTTTTATAATAATTTATTCGGTGACGTGATGCTTAATCTTCTGTTAAAAACCATGGGATCCATAGTGTGCGTGTTACTATCATATGCGAACGGCAACTCATGAATATTAATTCTATTTGACTGCGGTGTTAATGGCCACTTCCTTTGATTCGTGGAGCCGGAAGATGACATTTTTATTTTTACTTTGATTTTATTCGAGAACATCAATTATCGTCAACTGCACTCGTCCGACCGAATGTCAACTGCACTTGAATTTTTATTATTTTTGATTTGTTTGAGATACCTATGAGTCTTGTTATATTTAAATGGGAAAGTTATTTTTAACGCTACAAGTTTTTCTATTTTTAACGCCTTTTCTTCTGGATTTTATGTAGGTGACGAGTAGAAGTGTGCAAAATGTTTTTTTAAAAGTATTTAAATACAAAATGCAAATACTTTTTTGATTTGTTATTTCAAATGTTAAATACAAAATAAATATGGAAGGAATTGAATCTTGGCTAGGCACTTGGTGAAACATATTTAATAAGATATAAGAAATAAAACACTTGGTACACTTTTGTTTCACAGTTTATTTAGAACACTCTAACAATTGTTTCGGCTGTTAAGCCATTATCAAGAGTCATTCTCTTAACACGTTATATAATTGGTGAGGTGATTCTGGGTGATTTAAGAAATATCATATCAATGACTTGCACGTGCAAAGCCGATTTAAGAGAACGTTGCAAACACATTATTGCAACTTTGTTGTATTGCAGCAGGTAGGTTCTTAACCTCAAAATACTTATATCGTATCATTAGAATTGTGTTAAATCAATTACACAGGAATAAATAATTTCTCACTTTATAATTTTAGT